TATATAAACTAAAAATAGAATAAAAATTACAATATATAAATCAATACAAACTTTATTTTATAAATTAATTTATAAAATTGAATTATATTTAAAATTCATTCTTAATAATAATATCTTAATTTTTGAAAAAAAAAATTGTATGTGTGTATCATAAAGTATACATATGTATGAATGTTTTGGATGTATATTTGCAAGAGATTATCAAGAACATCAAGTGGGTATTGTAATCTCTTCATCTTTACAAATGACATTATGATTACACTTTTCCTTTATTTTTTTCCAAAATATCATAAATGTCTCTTAGAACACTGTAAAGCAAAGTAGTCAAATTAATACAACCTAGAAGCTGCTACACTTGGTTAGAAAATACATAGATTGTTAAGTTTAACATTTCTCTAAGATCTAAGCCTATTTTTCACATTAAGTACCACAAAGCAAACATCTACATGTCTTTCACATCACTGTTCTATGCAGATGACAATTTTTCTCACATCAAATTGCTAAGAAAAACTTCTGTCACATCATACCTAATTAAGAATTAAAAAGACTAAACTCTATCTTTTTAAAATAAGAAAACCATAGTATTCAAACCTTAAAAAGTGTTAACTTTATTTAAAACAAAGAATCAAACCTTAAAACACATTAACTTTGTTTAGAAGAAACATGTATCTAATCAAAGAGTTACCCATCACCTGGTGTCTTCTTTGATGAATGTTGAGAAAGAAAGATATATTAATTTTGTTAAGTTACTACAATGGTAGATTAACTTGGATCTACTGCAATTTTTAGCTGACTCAGTATCGAGTAGACACAAGATATGAAAAATCAGAGGTTCAACACAGTGACAAACTAAACCTCTTAACAATTTTGTTCCTATTATGCAGTGTTTGTAAATGTCCCCCATCATCATTTTTTTTGTTCGTTAGCCAAAATATAGTTTGGTTATAAAAGACTTAGGAGACAACTATATATTCATCCACCTACTTAATTATGTCCTTATATTGGTTATGGTACATTGAAAAATGTAAAACTTCCTCTATTATTTCCTTAGCTTTGCATGGAATCTCGTCTATGCCACTGACATAAATATTAACGTCAAGCGAACGTGAAATTTAAAAAAGGACCACATCGGACAGTGATAACTTTCTGCGTTTCGTTAAAATTAAAACACAAAAAGATGTTCTCTAGGTTTCGGGAAGAGCACCATATCTTCTTGTCACAGAGAAAACATAGATACTTTAACTCAATTTTATACTATTCCAATTAATCACTATCTAATGCTAAGATTAAATATTAATCTCGAACAATTAGACTTTGTCAAAAAGTTTAGTTTTTCATTGTTAGAATATTGGTACTTCTACTTAAGAGCATAAAGCAATAAGATTGATTTCTACTTGAATTAACCCTTATGCTTGCTAAAGAATGTTAGAAACAAACTACCCTTCTGTTTTTTATTTTGTATATGCTTGTTGTGATACAGATTTCAGATCTAGCCAAAAAATTCAGTGTCACATGCTACCTTTATGTGGGTTGGAATAGTTTCTAGTAAAATGTATTTTTCATTTTTCACCATGTTTAGCTAATAAATTACAGAGTTCAAACCAGTTGAAATTGCAGAAGACTCTTATGTCAGAAGGAACAAAGGGAGATATTTGGAGACAAAGGGTTATGTGCACAACATTAAAGCATCAGTCACAAGAGGAAACACCTAGTTAAGGTTCCATTCCTGTGGGACATAAACCCAATGGCACATATATAGTGTCTCCTTTTCTATTTCTGATGAAAACTTCTAGATATTCATAGCAAGGAAATAAAATATCTTTGGGAAGAAACACATTTTCATATACTTGTCAGAATAGTGGCTCTTTTTATCTTAAATGTTATCTTTGTCTATAATCATTTTATCATTTAAGGCTCATATATAATCTATTTAACCCAAACTTGTTTGTAAACAATAGTAAATATAATCTTAAAAGCTTATAATGATTTTTTCTTTCCAAACAATTTAATTAGCTCATAAATAACAATGGTTGTTGACACTCCAAACAAGGACTAGGTTTAAGAATAGTGTGTAACTAACCTCTATAAAAAATGCTGTCAAAGATCAGATGCACAGAGTGATGAAAAAGACCCTACAACACAACTTGTACACAGAACAAATTTCTAAAATCTTACACGTAGTGGAATTCAGAATCTTTTAGTCCGTTCTAATTCTACTTGCATGTGATATTGATAAGTTTAATACTCAGTTTTCTTGAAAATTTTATGCGCAGCTTAATACATCATCAGTGCATTAGACACCTCTAGCATTCTCTACTTAAGATTTTTATTAAAACAAATCAAAATTCTTTCAAAGTCTATAAAATGATCAGCAGCTCTTGCAAAAAAAAAAATCTCTTTCTACCCAAGGTCCAGCTTTTGTTTTGTAAGTTCTTCCTCTTTTGAAGTAGGACATAAAAATGAGGAGTGGGGCCCAAGAAGCAAACAGATTCAGAGAAAAAATGGCTCTTGCTTCGATGCCTAAAGTGATGACTGAAAACAATTTCAGTTATGTCTGTATGTTGTGCATGTAAGTTAAAGCTACAACCTTTATTTTTATTAACTAATGATGGCTTGTTGGTGTCATTAAAATGGTTTGAATCCAAATTGAGCCCACACTTCTAGCACTCCAATTCAATGATTTTGGTCCTAGCTCTCTTTAAAAGCTCAGAACAATTCATTTTTTACTCTAATTTACTTTTCTTTGTGTTCTTCCACTGGTTTTCCACAACCAACCCTCTCTTAGTTCCTCTTCTTCCCTTAGACTTCCCTCATCCAAAACAAAATGAACAAACTCAATCTATTACTTAGTAAATGCAAGAGTTTGTCAAGGCGTCTAGGAAGGTCTTCATCATATAATAGCCTAAGGTCCAAGTTTGTGAAGGAAGATTCATGGAAAGTGCATGACATGCAAGAAGATGAACATTGTGAAACTGTACTTGTTGGCAGCACAAGAAAACAGTATGTGATCAGCTCTAAGTATCTGAATAACCCTCTTCTGAAAGCTCTAATCAACAAGTCAAATCAAGAGGGCAACAATAAAAGTATTTTGATTATCAACTGTGAGGTGGTTCTCTTTGATCATCTGTTATGGATGTTAGAAAATGCGGATCCAATGTTTGGTTCTGACTCTTTGGAGGAATTGGCTGATCTCTATGTGTTTTAAAGGTTTTGATCCTCAAAGTTTTAGTTGCATGCAGAACTCTAATGTAAGTAAGTGTATGTTGTGTTTGTGTTTGCATTCTGCAAGAGTCTAGTTTTCTTGAGAGTCAATTTTGTTTCCTTTGGTTCATGACTTCTATGGTCCTTCAACTGTTCTGTAATTGCATATCTGATTTCTGTTCTAACTTAGTGTTTTCAAGTGTCATGTGTTTGATTAATGCAATAAAACTGTTGTTTAGGTAAGTGATGTAGATGGATGACTCTAAGGGAGAAGGTATCATATCATAACACTGTAAGAACGAAATCACAGCTAGTTTTGTATGACAGCTAGAAATTTTTTATTGAAGGTCAAAATAGAAAGATTAAAAGAATTAGAACTAATAATTGGAAGAGTTATGATGTTTTATTTTTTAAAGTTCTTAATAGAAATCAGTTAAGACTGTAAATCCACTCACAACACATTTAGAATCTTTCCTTAATTATTTATTAGAATTAAAATAAATACAGTTTTCATCTTTCTTGAATCCTAATGGAATCAGATTTATCACTTTTTTTCAATGGAATGAAAATACTAGAAGAGAAGAGTAAAAAAGGTGAACAAAAAATTAAAGATGGAGTTAGACTAGGAAGAATGTTATAAATATATGATACTTTGTTACTAAATAAATCATTTATAAAAATGAATGATGTAGGTTTTTGTAATCATTTTTTTTTTATGTTTAGACTGTGTAAAATATATATATAAAAAAAATACTTTCCAAAGCTGACCATATCAACACACAACTAACACTCCCATAGAACACAGTATAGCAAACTTAGATACCATAAAGATGACTCCATGGAATTGCGGTTTAAACTTAGATTCATGTTTTCTCACAAAAGATAAAAACCAGTTTCACATCATGTCACCAACTTTATGAGTAATAAATGACTAAATATGTTCACAACTATATTTATGAGTAAAAAATGAATGAATATGTTCACAACTATAGTTTCACTGTTCCATTTATCCTTTTCCGATATGTACATTTTTGTCCTGCTACAAAAAATATAAAATTTTATGTTGTCCCTGATCATATTTTGTTGTGTCCTTTATATTTAACAAATCAAACAAGACCCAGAATTTAATTCAATTACTACCCTTTTTGTTGGATCCTTCTGTCATACAGAAAATATTATATAGGATAAATAAAACTTGAAGTACAAGAAAGCATTATTTTTGGTCTTTCTAGTCTTAAATGTAAAACTTTCACTACAATTTAACTTTACTGACAAAAGAAACCCTTTTCTTTTAAGTTCCATATTTGTGCATCCAGAATGATGATTTTATATTTTAAAATTACATTTTTATAATAAAAATATAAATTGGTATTGCTGAAGTGCAGAGAGGAAATATAAATACCGGCATTTGTGTGGAAACGATAAAGCCACACAAAATCACAAAGTGCCTGTTCAATTTGATAATATACATATACGTTTGTAAAAGTAAATATCCTGCAAGGGTAAAAATGTAAACAAAGATCACCGCTTTGTAAATATCCTGCAAGGGTAAAAATGTAAACAAAGATCACCGCTTCAAAAGAAAATTTATTACAAATTTCATAACGAACTACATTCCCAAACTCCACGCAATTACTGTAAAAATTAAAATGTACTCTTAATTCAAGCAAATCAAGATGAGTTACTCCTTAATCCCACACAATTATAATATGAAACCTATCAGCTTACAAGGTTTTTGTTGTGTCTCCAAGTTGAAAGAAAAGCCAAGGTACTAATCTCTTAAAATACACGAGGGCATATGAATTAATATTACTTTATATCGATTCTTGATGATTTCATGTTGAATTGAAACAGACATCTAGTACTAAAAAAATTGAAATAAATATCACTACGAAGTTGTTTATAATCAATCCATGGAAAAACATTATTTAGTAACAAAATTTGCCCAAAATTGAATTACAGAAGTTGCATGACCACTCAGTCTATCCTCAAATTTCCATGGCTTCATCTGATTCATTCATCTGCCCCTTAATACACTCACAGTCAGTTATATGACTTCATCTTCTAAACTTTTTGGATGATTTTCCATCCTTGAGACCCAAGTACTTGTCGATATCTTCCCCATCATTATATTCCTCACCTCTCCGTTTCTTCTTCCCTCCAGCCTCCTTCATTTTCTACACAACCAAACATACAAACATTTAAGTATTGTCTACTATATTATTTAAAATCACATAAACATTAGCTGATGACTAATCCTTCATCATATTTAATCCCAGGAGGAGTAATGTCTATACAAACTCAAGTCATATAAAACAAGTTTCTTCCGTTTGTTGTAAGATGAGATTAGAACCTATGACCTAATGCATTATTACCCATACAGTTTTTTTTACCACAATCCATAGTTCTCGGAAAATAAATAATACCTGAAAACTGTAAACAATAAAAACTAGATTCAACTCATTGAAATATCTCCCATTAATTTTGTTATGCTTCTAAGAAGAAATAGACAAAATAATATAAATATAACAGCTTAATACAAAATTTTACCGTGGCAGCTAATCTTTTTGCTTCACTAACACGTTCTTCCAAAAGGAGAACTTCCTCTTCTTGTGCAGGGTACTCAGGTAGCTTTTTGCCTGAAATACACACGTATTTCTCAAAGTGAGAAACTTTTTTCCCTTTAAAAGTTAAAGCTAAGATGGCTTAGCTATATACTCTACTCACCTATAAGCTTCTCTATTTGAATGTACCACTCCAGTTCATACTGATTTACAAGGGAAATGGCAACTCCAGAGCGTCCTGCTCGAGCAGTTCTTCCCACGCGATGTATATAATCCTGTAGCTAACAAGGTCAGGAATCCAGGGAATATAAAAGTGAAAATTCCAAAATCGTTGATCTAGACTCTAGGTCTTGTGTTAATTTAGATGCATCATGTATTACCACGAAAACAAATTATAATAATTACAGGAAACCTGTGAACTTTTGATTTAGTATACATTTATAAATATAATAGAACATGTTAGAAAAGAACAAAGGGAATACATAACACGCCTTACTTTGGAATTTGTGGGAATATCATAGTTAATCACCATATCTACAGTGGGAATATCCAGTCCTCTGCTAGCCACGTCAGTACAAAGGAGAATATTGCACTCCCCAGATTTGAACTTGTTCAAAGCTCCAAGTCTCTTTGGCTGTCAAAACATTATTAGAATAAAAATTAATATGCTTGATTGGGTCCCACGTAAATAATGAAAATATATGGCAGAGAGGGTCCTTTATTCCATCCTACCATCCCCTACCAATACCAAGGAAAGAATAGTTGACAACAAATTACAACAACAAATTATATCATGAGATACGTAGTACAATTACCTGGCTCATATGACCATTAATAGGTATCGCTTTTAAACCAAGATTCCTAAGGATCAATGCTAGAAGTCGAGTTGAATCACAGGTACGAGTGAACACCATTGACGTACTTCCAGTCATTTCAGTGAGGATATATACTAGGTAGCAGTCCTACGAGAGAAACACAATTACTTAACAGAATCATCATATGCAAAAAATTATAATAGACATGTTTCATGAAACCCAAAACATATGAATTTATAATAATTTCATTCCAAATAGCTAAATTATCATAAGTGTTCATACAAACATTGTACTCCCTAAAATAGTAGTATTATATGGTATTAGATTAAATAAAATACTTTCACTCAGCTAAATCAGAAGAATGAGAAGAATTAATTTACAGTTGGAGTTCATCACAAGAAACAGACTTCTTTTGGAGGAAAATAATGACAATATCAGATTTGTAGTTAGCAGTCGTCCACTCATAAAATTTATTTTCTAATATATCTTGTGTTAATAGCCTTTACCATCTCCTTCGGACCAAGAAGATGTGAGTGCTAAGAAAATTAATGTACAATTGCTTGCATTTCTTGCTTTTAAAATCCAAGATGCTGCTGAATAAGGGAGAATGGGAAGAATTAATTTACAGTTGGAGGTTGTCGCAAGCAACAGACTTTATTGAAGGAAAACAATGACAATATCAGATTTGTACTTCGTGCTCATCCATCCATGAAGTTTCTTTTGTAATATATCTTTAGTTAGTAACCTTTACAGAATCCATCGGACCAAGTGATGATTGTTAAGGAAATTAATGTACAATTGATATGGTCATTTCTTTTTTCCAAGATGTTGCTGAACAAGGGAGTGGGAAGAATTAATTTACAGTTAAGTTTGTTGCAAGCAACAAACCTTTTTTTAAGGAAAACAATGATAATGTTGGATTTGTAGTTAGTGTCTTCTACTCATGAAATTTCTTTAGTAAGATATCTTTAGTTAGTAGCCTTTACAGTCTCCATTGGACAAAGAAGTGATGAGTGTTAAAAAAGTTAATGTACAATTTGCCATGTCTTGTTATTAAAATCCAAGATGTTACTGAATAAGGGAGAAGAGAAACCTTGTGTTTGGCGGGCAAGAATCGATACTGCTGCTTCAATGTGTCAACAGTGGAATATTTAGACGCTGCTTCAATCTAAAATGAAATAAACAAATTGAGTAACATCAGAACAGAAGAATTTATATATACAAGTAAAATAAGTAACAAATAGTCCTCTCGTTTGAGAGATGATTAAATATATTGCCTTTACTTCTAATTTTTAAGTTACACAGTCCCTTAAGAGAATAAATAAGCTATGTTTGATAGTCTGTTTTAAAGTAAATGAATCTCTAAGCAATGGTGAGAAACTTTGGATGAGTCTCCCACTGAGCTAATCTTGAAAACCCTATTGTCGATTTTAAGAGCTTTAAAACATCAAAGAAGTTTCATTACTTTCGACTTTGGAAATTGGAACTTTAACAAAAATCTTAGATACATCTCTTGCAATTCAAAATTAAGGGACTAAACCTAGATATCGCTGGTACTGTAAATGGAAGAGGGAAAATTGAGCCTAGGTAGTTTGTTTATGTTAAAATGGATTAAGTGAAAGATACCATCGTCTAAATTGAAGGGTGCATATTTGTTCAAAATAGATAACAGGGCATGGTAATTTAAGCATCTCTCAAAATGTAGAATGTAATTTAGCCAATGGATAAACATTTGAATTATGACAATTGTACCTTCACAGGATTCCTTAAACAAACTCTCTGGAGCTTCTGGACCTGCAACAGTGAGTGCAACTTGATCTATTAGCTACGTAAATATAGAACCACGTGAGAAGTCAGCAATCAAGTATCTACAGCATATAAGAAAGTAACAGAAACCAATTTTTTCATTCAATCTGCACCAAAATATATTGAAGAACATGCATGAAAAATTATGTTCCGAACAAACAATAATAAATTTGTGATTTATCCTAAAATAACAAGAAAAATGCTTTTGATAATCTATAAAAAGATTCTATACCAACAATCAGAATTTATGTTAAATTCCAATAAACTCTCCCCAATGACCAGCCTCAAAAAATAGGGTTCCATATCTCATAATATAAAATAAATACCTTCTTAGTCATTGTAGCAGAAAACAGAAACGTTCTACGCTCACGAGGAATCATTTGTAAAATCTCATTAAGTGATTCCTCAAAGTCCTCGTTCAACAACCTATCTGCCTCATCTAAGACCTGCTCAAAATATATAGTAACCATGTTAGTCCAAGCACATGTATGGCATGGAAATGTAGACAAGAGTCTCCTCATGAAAATAGAAGGTATGCCCCTCTTTCTCTTTGCTTGTTTTTTGAACTATGACATAACCATAAAAAACATTCACCGATATTAATCAAGGTAAAAAAATGGAATCTAGGAAGGAAGCATATGAACACTTATGATGCAGAAAGTAACATCAATAACTCAGTATATAAAAAAATGTAGAAACTGTACCAGGTATTTTAATCTACTAAGAGAAAATCCTTTTGTGTGTTTTAGGTGATCCAAAACTCGTCCAGGGGTCCCAACCTGCATGCATATCAAATTCAACATAAATAAATAACAAAAAAATACAACACTGCTAAATTGTGACGACCAAAAATTAACAGAAAACTAAAGACCACACTTAATTAAAAGCACACTATCAATCTTGTACAAGCAGAGTGTGTATAAATTCATCTTTCTCTGGTTAAATGAATAATATTCTATCATTCAAGAGCAAAGTTTCAACCCATAAAGAGTCTCACTCAGCCACTGTAATGTTTTTTAACAATGAATGCAATGATTAAATATGTTCTTCCTCATGATAAAGACCTAGTTGAATTCCAAGATATTGACTGAAAAAACAAAATCAGTCCTAGTAAACATAGGACTTGTACAAGATACAAGAGTTAAGAGGAACACAAACTTCAACTTAAGTCTTTGTGGGATGAAAATTGTTAGAAGTTCCATATCAACTAGAGATAAAACCAATTTATAGTATATAAGTAGGTGCAAACCTCACCTTACAAGCCGGTTTTGTGGAGTTGAGTTAGACTTAAAATTCACTTCTTAACATGGTATTAGAACTATAGGTTAAAGTCTATTCTAGCGAGATTTGTGTTTGTTGAACATATTGTTCCACCTGCTATCGGACCAGAGGAGGGTATGTTGGAAATCCCACATAGATTAGAGATAAAACCAATTTTTAGTATATAAGTGGGTGCAAACCTTACCTTACAAGCCAATTTTGTGAGATTAAGTTAGGCTTAAAGTCCACTTCTTAACAAAAATGACCAGAGTTGTAACTAGAGTTCATTCATGCAATTAAATTGTGGAGGGGGGTAAATATAAAGTTACTGACCAATTTATCAATATAGGATGATAAAAAATCAAGTTATGAAGCAAAAAAGGAATGGAAGTCATCATTCAAAGAAGTATAAAAGCATGATCCAAAAAAGATTTAGAACTGTTATGGGTGCTGATAGGTACACTCCTAAGTTTCCCTTATGTTGTTTGAGTTGCCAATTGCAAGGGGGAAATCGTATTTAGAACTTTGGGGCATATACAGCCAGAAGTAAAAAAACTCGAAAAAAACAAAAAAAGAAAGATAAATCGTTACCAAGACACATTGATCAAGAATTTGGAATTCCAAATCAGTTGGATCAATATTCATTTTAGAATATAATAGTCCAATGAATCTCCTCATATATAGATGGTACACCTCTAGAGATGAAATATGATAGGTTTAGTGGCAAGGTTTATGTGAGAAGAAATAGACGAGGCAGGTAGTTATAACTTCCTAGTAGGTAGTTATAACCTCCTACAGTTGTGTTGTGTAATTATTTTTTATATTTTGTTTATGTTAGATTATGGTAGGCAGTTTTTAGTTGGTTGTAAAATATATCTTTTTAGGCCAATACTCTAACATAATTGGAATTTGATAGCCTACCAACTACAAACATTATACATATCTCTCCAGGTGTATTTATATTGAAGGTAGTAGATTAAGAAAGTAAGAACAAAACCAATCCTATATCTGGCAAGAGAAATCATATAATTAACACAATGTTTACGAAATATTCTGACCAATAATTAGTAAGATAAGTCAGTAATTGATTTAGAAACCGACAAACAATAACATAGAAAAATGCATTTCTTTAGTGAAACATTAGTGATATATTATTATTGAATTTCGGTTCTCATTCAACTATTACCTAACTCTCTTCAAGTACAACAAACAAATATTATCAAAGGATGCTTACAGGAATGGCGAAACTTACAATAATATGAGGTTGCTTTGCTATCTTGATGGATTGTTGCACCATGTCAATTCCTCCAACAAGCTAGAGAAAAAGGAAAAGATGTTCACCAAAAAGATTGTATAATATTCATGTACTAAATATAATATTAACACAGTGCCTAACCATCCTATAACACTATGTATCAAGCTGATTCGGGTCAGACGGGACAAAATCAAAGTTATGCAGTAAAAAGGAAGCAATCAAACTCAAATAATGAATCATTTTAGAAAAATAGATAGAAACTCACCACAGCGCACTTGACACCAATTTCTGAACCTAGAGCTTCAAACTGCTCAGCAATTTGAATAGCAAGTTCTCTGAATTTATAAAATGATGAATAAAGAAAATAGACTTGCTAAGATATCAGTCAGGTCTATTACAATAAACAAAATTTGAATTTTATGATGATGAAACCCATAATTAGGTATGAAGTTTCAAACCTAGTGGGAGACAGCACGCAAGCAAAGAAATCTTTTGGACGAGGTGCGTCTAAGAGGGCATGCAATATAGGAAGAGCAAAAGCTCCTGTCTTCCCAGAACCAGTTTGGGCAAGCCCTATCACATCTTTACCTAAAAGAGACAACCCCGAAAAAATAATAAGCAATACCATTGTAGAATATATTGAAGTTAAAATGGGAAACTACTTAAAAGAATAATGCAATTAGTAAAAGCAATGATTTTTATATATTATATATTAAAAGTTTCATGTTGAAAATCTAAATACTAACATTTTTTTGCCTTCCTATTTTACAATCAAAATAAAATATGCAAATATCAGATTGAATTACAAAACTCAATTAAATGACAACCTTCTAATGCAAGAGGAATAGCTTCTATCTGTATCTTCAGTGGAGTTTTCCAACCCAATTTTTCACATGCTTCAACCAGTGATTCAGATAAGCCCAAATCCTTAAATGTTTTTATTCCTTCATTTTCTTCTGCCATTGGTAGTTTCTCACCTGTTTATAATTTTGAACTTAAAACTTAAATAACACCACATGGTCAAAAATCAAAAACATCAAAAGCAAACAAACAAAATAACTACCAAGGCCATAAAAGAATAAGAAGAAATAATAGAAGAATAAATATCAAATCAGAACTCATCCAACAACTACCAAAATCCAGCTATACAGGAACGATTGATGGTGATAGATGGGAGATTGTTGAAATTTGTAATTCTTTTATAATAGAGTACAAGAAATCAAAGATTGTGCAGTATAAATATGATAAGGCTTGAATTGTTGATGTGAACAGCTTATTTTCGTGTTAGCAAAGAAACCGCTGGACCCATTCTCATATTTTCATTCCGAATTACATAAAACTACTCTCATTTTGTAAGTCCCCCATTGAGTCTGTGAGAGCGAGATTCTGGAGAAGATGCAACTCTAGCTACCATGTTTCAGTTGAGGCAGGCTTTATGCATGTTTCACAAGTGGTGTATCCAATATATGTATTAAAATTTTCCCATGAATGTAGAAAATCCAATTTACTAAGGCACAAATAAAGGATTAGATCATCAATCCTTCCAATCCAACTGTTTTTTCTGAACACCTTGGTTTTTACAAAGGAAAGCATTGAAGAGGAAGATAAATCCATATATCTCACATTAAGCACACTCGGTTTTCTTTGTCACACATTAACAGGATTCACAGTCCTCAAGCATATTTTTATGGTTCTTAAATAAATAAAAAATCTAAAATCATATGAACTAACAAAACCTAATGGAAACTGGTAGTATTGAAAGGAAATAGATGATCTTCTAGGAAAACAACTCATTTACAGCAGCAATATAACTCCAGCTTAGAAGGAAGAAAAAAACAGATAATGGCAATTAAGAAAAGAAGACAACAACTATAGTTGCAAGACGGAAACTCTGTCCCCAAAGCAATTGCCTAGTCAATTCCTCACCCAATTTCCGCCCTCCCCTTTTGGTACTCTCCCCTTTCTTATTCTCTCCCCTACCTTATATAAACACGTTCTTCATGGACAATGATCACAGGATATCTTCTTGTTGAGATACACATTAGCTGCTCCATATACCCACACGTATTTCGTAATTATTGGGTTTAAGTGTATCTCAATGAGAAAACCCTAAAAAGTAAATGTTAACATGTCTAAAGTGGCACCAACTGTCTCCAAAATCAAACACAGTTTTCCATAACTGTTAGGGGTGGGGTTTCGGTGAAAGAACATATTCTACACTGAAACATTCTCTGGAAAGCTAAAACAGAAACAGAGTGAAAAGTGAAAAGGTTTACAGTAAAATTGAGGCATAAGCACAAAGAAAAAAACATAGACCCTCAGAAGAAGTAAGATTGGAAACCTGAAATCGCACAGGTCGGTGACGACAAGGAGCAGCGGACGGAGGACTGCACAAGATGGTAGTTAATTTAATTTAAAAGAAGAAATCTGAAGGGAACTGAAAGGGGATTCAATTGAAGACATATATTTCCTTTTATGGTCATTTGCTTGTGTACCTTGAGTTGAGTTCGGGAGGTGTCGAACAATGAAATTTAGGGTTGTTGAGAAAGGAAGCGTAACAGAGTATGTCTCGGTGCAAAAGGGGAAAATTTATAACAGAGCTTCGAAGAACAACATCAGCAGAGAACAATGAAGCTTGTTGGAGTCGTAATTGTAGAGATGGCGAGGAACTTGAGAAGGTAGCAATTTAGAATTTGGGTGGAATTAGGGTTTTTACGATAATTAGGGGTTTAGACAATCTTAACCCGTTTTTAAAAAATAATATATATATATATATATATATATATATATATATATATATAAGTAGATTTTATTTTCATCAATAAATTGATTTGGTTTCTCAAAGTTGATCTATTTGTTCTTATTTCTCTAATTTAAGTTCTATTTTTTAAAATGTGATATGATTAGGTTTTTTTTAGTACTTTACTAATCATATTAAAGATAGATAATGTGTTATGTTTTTTCTTAGAATTTAATATTTATATTGTTCGTTTTAATTCGATTAGGTCTCATTTTTCAGGAAAATAATAATTTTATCTATTTCTAACTTTAGATCAAATTTAACTTTTATATAAATGGTATATTTATATTTTTATTAAAATTTATATTTTTATTAAATGTATTTAGAAAAATTAAGTTTACTTAAATTTATAATTTAGATTGAATTTTATTTAAAATTGTTTTAAAATTTTAAATTAACATTGAACTTTATTTATATTAATATCTTATTTCGTAATATTTTAATGTTGTTTTTTTAATTGAATTTATATTTCAAATAATGATATATTTTTAAAATGTTTAAAATTTAATCATTTATATATAATCAGTTTACTTAAAAAAATATTTTATAAACTCAACTATAAATTTTTTAAATAATTGTATAATAATTTAAAACAAATAAATTTAAAATTTTAAAACAATTTTAAATAAATTTTAGTGTAAAATATAAATTTAAATTAATTAAATATTGTTAAAAATATTTAATAAAAATATTAATATAACATTTATATAAAAATTAAATATAATCTCAATTTAAATAAATATAAAATTGTTTAATTTAAAATAAAATTAAGATAAAATTAAATAAAAATAACAAATATATAAACAAACACAATGTAGTTTGGTGTTGATGTCCCACACTCTCACGCACGATCATATTATATTTTTATTATGACTATGAGATCGGGGAAAATAAGAGTTTTGAAAATAAAATAGTTTTGAGATTTTGAGTTTTCGTTTAGAAATTAATGTTTTTGAGTGTATATTTTTGTTATAACATAATTGTTATGTTGTTTTTTTATTTTTATATCTTTTGTCCAAGGGTAAAAGAGTTTTTTATTTTTATTTATTTGGTGTATAAATTAATTAAGAAGGGCGTAGAAAGGAGAAACATGCAAATTAAATAATCTGGATATTTAATAAAAGGATATTATGTAAATCTTTTAAGAGATTTAGTTGTTATTTTAAAATTTAGTTAAATGAAAACATGGGATATGATCTTGTTGGGTTTAAAAATTAAAAGAGATATTATTATTAGAAAAAAACACTATTAAATGGTTTAAACTCTCGGATGGTCCTCATATTTATATGGGAATCTCAAGCGAATCATCGTATTTGCAACTGTCTCAATTGGGTCCTAATATTTGTAAAATTGAGCCAATTTTGCCATATCCGTTAAATTGTCACATACGGCGTTAATTTTTATGAGGTGTTTATGTTGGTGCATGGTTTGATTAGAAAAGGTTGTGCTGTCACACGTAGTGGAGTCGCGAAGGAGATTGATTTTAAGGTGGAATGTTCTCGCGATGGCATTGCTTGCACGACAGTGAAACTGAACTCGTGTCAGGGTGACTATCTGTTCACGATGGTCTCTTGCGATAATGGTGAAGTGCGAAGGAACGTTGCGATTTGGTTGGTTATTGGGGGTTTCTCTGTTATGATTTTTTGCAGGTCTGTGTGTTTGTGTTTTGATTTACTGCAGGCTGATTAATGTTGTCGGCATCGTTGTTGCAGTTGATTCCTTTTCACAACCCAATTGCAGAAAATAGAGAAAAGTGGTGGCCCACAACATACAGTGGATGGTTCGTGAATGGTGAAGGAGTTTAGGCATATACTGCAGGAGTCTTCGAGAGAGTCGTCGAAAGGTACTGAAGAAGATGGAGCTTATATGGATGGAATGGGTGATAGAGAAGAACAAGAGGTGAAGTTTTCCATTGTTAACTGCACAGTAGTGTGAGATGTAGAAGGGGTTTCGGTGAAGAAGAAGAAGAAGAAATCCTAGAAATGAAGATGAGGGAGTTTGAAGTGAAGGAATACAATTACATATAAAACCGAAGGAGCGAAGGGAGGAGAAAATCCTTGGATAATCCTATTCAGCCGCTTTGAAGAAATCAATTGTGGCCTCACATACATTTTTTTCTTTAACTTTTCGCAAATCTCAACTCTATTTTCTGCATTTTGGCCATCGTTGGAGCAAAAGGTGGGCTCAAAATTGAAGCCTTGGGATGAAAAGGAATTATATTCCCATACTATTTCCTACTTCCGAAGAGTGTTGAAGCTTGTTCTTTTTTTCTAGTCTCAAACAAACCTTTAATTGCATTGTTTTTAATATCCGTATGAGTGCTTTAAGATCCCTTAAGCTTTGTTAACTTGAATGGATTTAGGGGAGAGTGATTGAGGGGATTTGAAGGTAATTTTTTTTGTTGTTTATTTGAGTGAATTTGGAGGTAAATGAGAGTTTATTTGGAAGTAATTTTTTTTAATCTGTCACGTCAATCAAATCCTACACTAATTCTCACAAATTTTACTTCCAAATTCACTCTCACTTACCTTCAAATCCACTCAAATAAACAACAACAAAATTTACTTTCAAATCCCCTCAATCACTCTCCCCCAAATTTATTCAAATGAACAAGGCTTTAGAGATTGTTTAAATTCAAGATTCTTTAATCTATTTTCAATCTCACTATAAACTGCATTTATTCCTCCAACTACAAGTGTAAACCCTCTTACAATAAAGATGAAGAACACGAAGAGTCGAGGAGTGACTGCTGCCGGCGAAGCTCCAACCGTGACCGGCAGTCGGTAGCGAGGCCCATGGCCTGACTAAATGAAGAACACATGGTGGTTAAACCAATTCAATTCCGCCATGTCATAATTCTTTAATCTAAATAAAAATTCCACCTAATCAAACCATGCACATCAACATAAACATATTGTCAAAAATTAACACCGTCTGTGACAACTTAACGAATATGACAAAATTGGGTCAATTTTACAAATATTAGGACCCAATTGAGACAGTTGCAAATACGATGACTCACTTGAGATTTCCATAGAAATATGAGGACCATCTGAGGGTTTAAACCTTATTAAACATTGTTAGATATTTTAAAAGATTACGTGGATTTTAAAAAAAGTGGTGGTTGTTGATATTTTAAAAAGTAGTTAAGAGAGAATAAAAGATAAAATTTTAGTAGTTTTAGAGATAGACTGGGAGATTTTATTAAAACTAAAAACATACAAATATAATGGAAGAAGATAAAAGTGAGAAGAGTAAAAAGGGATCTACATTTTGTTACCCTAAAATAAATAAACGAAAATTATAATTATAATGAGAGAAAAGACGTTTTATAAGAAAAAAGAGGAAGAACTGCAAAAAAAACCTTAGTGCAAAGGAAGATTTGTGGTGTTTTTGAAGTTAGATTAAAACACTAGTATTGGCCAAGGTATGAGAAAACTTATCATTGTTTGTTGTATGCTATGCATTCTCGATTTACTTGCATGAAATATTTTTGATACGTGTTATATGATTATGATTATGATTATCTATTGCTATTGTTGGGCAAGAGTTTCTGTGTGCATAAGAATATGTTTTTGGTAATATTTGTGATGAGTTTTTCTTATGAATGTATTATGTATGTTTTGTTGGGTTATGTCAATAAATAGTTTAATGCTAAGAGAACAAATTTGTGATGCTTGGGGATTTCAATGCAAATATATGTTGTAAGTGTTGGGTTATTGAGCTCACTTCCTCTATGAAGAATAGGCCAAATAATGTAGATCATCATGTTTCACTTTGTTTTAGTGGAATTGGTCTCATTAGTAGGACATTATTAGAGTAATTTGAAAATGTTTCATAGACATGATTTATTCGTGAAATGGCAAAATAAAGATTTGAGTTTCTTTTAAAAAGTTCTTTTGGTATAGATTTTTGAAACTATGTAATTATAGTTGTTTTATTCCCTTAGTCATTTTAATTATTTTAGAATAATATAATTGGAAAATATTTTTAGAACTATTATATTTTGAATAAATTATGTATATTAAAAGGTTAATGTTTTTGAAAAATATGTTTCTACGCTAGGCTAAAGTTTGAAATTTTCCACTTTTTGTAAAACCGTGTCATCCTGTAAATCAGGTGTTACAATCACATAATACAAGTTGATTTGTGCCAAATTTTTTAGAATAATAATAATAAATGTTTAAATAAAAATACAAAGATCAATTAATTTTCGTATAAAGATTGAAATTATGAATATATATATATATATATATATATATATATATATATATATATATATATATATTCCCATTAAATATTTAATTTTAAATTTTTAATTGAATTTTTGTGACTAAAAAATTGATTTAATAAAAATTTGTGTAATTAGGATTATTGGAATAAAAATATTTAAAAAAATATTTTTTAGTTACATTTTCTTTTGATGTCATGATGTTATTTTAAGTGATTTTTTATAAGTGTGAAAATAATTTTTTCCGAAACTACATAAATAAGAACATAATTGAAATAAGAAATAATACACACACCTTTAAAATTTTAGTACAAAAATAAGGTTAAAATAGAATTTAGTAAAAATTTATAAGGAAAAGGTTAAAACTGTAAATATCACAAAGAGATAATCAATTATTTATTTGTCGTATGATTAACTATTATTGATATTTATATTTCTATTATAATAAAATGAAATTATTTAAATACTAAATTACGTTAAATAATTGAGTGTTCTATAAAATATTTTTTCTTAATATTATTATTTAAATATATTGTTTAATTTTTAAATATTTTATATTATTTTTATTTTAATATTATTATTTTAAAATATAAATTTTCTTTTTTATTGCATCTAATGTAAATATGAAATAGATTAGGGTTAAGGTGACTGATAAATCTACCTATTTTTTT